ATTCTGGATCGTATTATGAAATATGATTTCTCTCACTGGAATCTTTTCTCCAATTAAGAGAGAGAGAGAGAGAGAGGAATGGGGGGTCTGGAGTGATGATAGTACAGTGGGTAGGGTGTTTGCCTACACTTGGCTGACCTGGGTTTGATTCCCAGTATCACATATGGTGCCTCAAACTCACCAGAAGTGATTCCTGAGTGTAGAGCCAGGAGTAACCCCTGAGCACCAGAGGATATGGCCCAAAAACAAAGAGAGAGAGAGGAGGGGCGGTGGACAGGGAGATAGCAGAGGGGGTCTTGCTTGGGGATCACTCCTGCCATAGCTGGGAGACTCTATGGGGTATCAGGGATCAAACCCCGGTTGGCTGCACACACAGCAAGTGCCTTTCCTGTTGTACTATCTCTCCGCTCTCTCAATATGACTTTTATTCAAATAAAAACATTGGAAGGGGAGAGATGGTATAAGGGGTTAAGACTCTTGCCTTGTATGCAGACAACCAGAGTTTGATCCCTGGCACACCATATAGTCCCTCGAGCACTGCCAGGAGTGATCACTGAGCACAGAGCCAGAAGGAAGCCCTGAGCTTCACCGGACATAGCCCAAAATCAAAAACTGAAATGAAATATGATAAAAAAGGCACATTCTTCGTCACCTGCACCACCAGTGACCTGTGACATGTAATCTCTCTGGCTGACGTTTCTCGAAATACTGCTATCTTACCTCACAGAAAGGGAGAGGAGAGAGAGAGAGAGAGAGAGAGAGAGAGAGAGAGAGAGAGAGAGAGAGAGAGAAAGGAGGGAAGCAAGAGAAAAAAAATCAGCCTGGGACCTAGACAGTGGCTCAGTGGCAAGTTTTGTTCTGATTTTTGGAGGGAACCAAACCCAGTGCAGCTCAGGACTCACCCCTGCACTCAGGGATCACTCCTGGTGGTGCTCAGGGAAAGATATGAAGTACCGGGGATTAAACCCAGGTTGTTGTGTGCAGGCAAGCGCCCTTCCACTTACTATTGCTCTGGCCCCTTAGTAGGTTTTCTTGAACTGTTTCTTGGTCATTTTTCAGATGCTCTTTAGGACTCTTTCCTGAGAATTTTAGCGGGTTTTTTTCTGTTGTTGTTGCTGCTGCTGTTGTTGTTGTTGTTAGTTTTAGTTCAGAGTCATCAGCTATGAAGGGTGCACTGTGTGTTCCATCAGTGCTAACCCCTAAGCCCAGACTGTCCACACAGCTGGGCAGGTGCTCTGAGCATCACGGAACCACAGAACCCAGGGTATTTCTCCTCTCTGGGCTAATTTTTGCCTGTGGGGTGCTCCTCAGAGATTCTGGATGCACTCCTGCGCCAAGGCTTCTGCTTTCATACATCCTCCAGCATGTGGGCTCTTCCTTCCCTGCAGAGGCCAAGCTTCAGGAGCCCTGAAAGGATCAAGACAGCCCCGGGATAGTTCAAGTGGAGAAACCTTCACCTCCTTTGATCTACATGTGATGCCGCTATTAATATAGCCTCAGCACCTAGGGGATTGATATGCAGGATGTGGTCTCATTGAGCTCCCGGGAGGGTCAGTTCCACGATCTCTCTTCCTACTTCCCAACAAGTCAACTTCCCTCCAAAAGCGATGCTCTGACCTCAGCTTCACTACTTCAGAACGTTCCGACATTCTAGGTGACAGAGGTTCTTCTCAGCCAGCACCTGGCCACCTGCCCCAGAGAGCAGGAAATGAGCTCTGAGGCTGGAGCAACAGTGGAGGGGGAGGGTGTTTGACCCCTTGCAGGCTGTTGACCCCCGTGTGATCCCTTATAGGGCCCCCCAATCCCTGCCAGGAGTGATCCCTGAATGCAGAGCCAAGAATAAGCCCTGGGCACCGCCGGGTGTGACTCAAATCACACACACACACACACACACACACACACACACACACACACACACGAGCTTCACTCTCACCCCTATGAGCCCCTGTAATATTTTTTTTTCCTTTTTGGGTCACACCCAGCGATGCTCAGGGGTCACTCCTGACTCTGCACTTAGGAATTACTCCTGGTAGTGCTCAGGGGACTAAATGAGATGCCGGGGATAGAACCCGGGTAGGCCACGTGCAAGGCAAACACCCTCCCCAACTGTGCTATCACTCCACCCCTATGACTCCTGTAGGCTCAGGGGGTACCCCAGCCTGCCCTTCCTGTGAGTTCCCCTGGGCTTCTGCCAGCCCAGAGGCCACTAAGTCCATCTATCACTGGATCCCCTGCAGGCTGCCCCGACTGGGCCCATGTCCAGAGGCCCCTCTGGCCTCCCCCGGGCAACAGAGGCCTGGCAGGTAAGGCTGGGCCGCCTGGCAGAAACAGCAGCAGAGCCCACTGGCCCACATCTGCCTCAGCAGCACCAAGCCTCTGCCCTGCTCCTGCCCCCACCCTCGGACTGCCTCGTCCTCAGCAGTGCTGCTGACTGGGGCCTTCCTGCTGTCCGCCCAGGAAGTCGCCGGGAGCTGCAGTGCAGGCTGACCGCCAGGTGAGGGCCAGCCCCTGGGCTCTGGGCCAACTGCCAGTGTCCTCGCATCCACGCCACCCTGGAACCCCAGCTGCTGAGAGTCAAAGGGACCCGCGCAGCTACTCAAGTAAGACTAAGAGGGCCTGAGTTCGGGGGGCGGGGAGGGTGCTCACACGGGCAGAAACAATGTGTTTTTCCTCTGCTCCCATATTTTTTTTAGGTTCTTGGTCTCTTTTCCCTCTGTCAGGGGAACAAGCCTTAAACAAACTTCCCCTTTGTAATTTGCCTTGGGCGATTGCTAGGCAGAACTGTTTATTTATCACTAATCAAATTTATCAGTCTTTGATTTTATATCTCCCAGGCTGTGTATATCTTTTGTATCTCCCAGAAAATAGCAACAGCCCAAGCCCCCGCCCAACCCTTCTTTATAATTCTGTATATGGGATGTCATCAGATTCTGGGAAGAATAAGGCACCTCCTGCCCTCAGAAGAGTCCAATTTTAGAAGGACACAAAGTCAGCCATTACAATTTCACACAAACAGAAATAAGAGGGGCGGGAGAGACTTACAGCAAGCCTTCCTTACACATGACCGACATGAGTTTGATCCCCAGCATCCCATATGGTCCCCCGAACTCCACCAGGAGTAATTCCTGAGTGCAGAGTCAGGAGAAACCCATAAGCATTGCTGGGTGTGACCCAAACACTTTGAGAGAGAGAGAGAGAGAGAGAGAGAGAGAGATCCGAGACCACCTGAGAAACTTCTCAGAGACATTCAGACCCTCAGTGATGACAACTTCGAGGGCTTGCCACCATCATACTTATCACGAGGGGCCTGGGATGAGCAGGTGAGCCCCCTTCCTGCGCCAATCTGCTCAGGGGACAGCAGGACGGGCTCTCCAGCTCACGGCCACTCCTCCAGACCCCACACAAAAGGGCCACAGGCAAAAGGTGAGGGCACAGGATGGGGTTGCAGAAAGGAGTCCAAGAGGAGAGGGGCATCAGGCTGAAGTGGGGTTTGCTAGAGAGAGGGCACTCCCCGCGGGTCTCACAAGCCCCTAGAGAGGCTAAAGAGGATGGAGCTGCCTCTTCATGCCTGTTTATACTGAAGTGAAGGAGGCCTGGAACGGGGATTGGCCGGCTAGCACCAAGCTTAGGTAGGCTGTCTTTCGTTGTGGATTCCAGGAGTTCCAGAGAAATCCCCACAGCAGCGGGTCTTATGAACTGCAAATAATTTCTTTTTGTTTGTTTGTTTGTTTTTGGCATTTTGGGTCACACTAAGTGATGCTCAGGACTTACTCCTGGCTCTGCACTCAGGAATTACTCCTGCAGTGCTCAGGGGCCCATATGGGGTGCCAGGGATTGAACCTGGGTTGGCCAAATGCAAGGCAAACACTCTACCCATTGGACTATTGCACAAGCCGACATATGCAGGTTTCAAAGTGTCCTTCTGCCCTGGGTGAACCCAAAAACAGGGCGGCAGGCTGGCCATGAGGAGCAGCCATCCTAGAGAGGCCCACAGAGGCCAGGCACTGGGCCATGTGTCTTGCAATTCCCAGAGGTCTGCGGGGTGCCCGGGAGAGAAGGCACCCGGAGGAGAGGGAAGTTGGAAACTATTTGCATGGACTTTAGGATCATCTCTGGATTTAGTTACACAGGCTATTCCCAGCCAGACACCAGTAGTTCTAGTTTCTTCAGTGCTTTGAACAAACTCCATCCCCAAAGGGTCACAGAACTAAGCCCAGGGCACAGATGAAGGCCCTCAGGGGCTTCAGGACACTCGGTCCCAGCACGCAGGCTTCCTGGCCACCCCCCTCCACCGTCCCGGCTGGCACGAGCCCTGTCCACGAAAGCCACTACACCACAGCTACCACAGAGGGGGCCAGGAGGGTTTCTGTCTGTTTGCTTCAGCTTTTTTGTTTTTTGGGTAACACCCAGTGATGCTCAGGAGTTCCTCCTGGCCCTGCACTCAGGAATTACTCCTGGTGGTGCTCAGGGGACCATATGGGATGCTGGGGATCAAACCTGGGTACCCTGCCTGTTGTACTATCACTCCAGTGTCCCCCTGAGGATTTCTGGGCTGCACTGGAGTCTCCCAGGAGTCCACTGCCCATTCATGTGTGCTGTGGAGAGGACACGGACACCCAGGCCAGGGGACTGTCACTACAGCGCGGGCTGGGTGACATTTCCCCCTAAACGAGAGTCTGGGCTAGCACCCATGTGGGGAGCCCACTGAGAAGGCAGCTTTGGGGGTTGGAGAGCACCTGCACCGGTCACTGCATTTAATCTTCCCAATGACACCGGGGAGAGGGGGGCAGTGAGACCTGCCAGGAGGCCAGGGAGTCCCGGCCCTGAGCCGACGGGGCCATTTAGGACAGACACAGTCTCCCCAGCGGCTAGCTTCTTTAATCCCCAGCACCCCAACATTCCACAGCCTGTGGGGATTCTGGGGTCCCATCCACTCCTTACTCTGGGTGGCTTCTGGGCACCCCCGCCCCTGCCCCCGAGAAGTGGAAGCTCCACATTCCCAATCAGGGGCCAGCCATGGTGGAGTCTCCAGCTGCAGCTATTTCTAGAAATCTGTCCAGGCACATCGTAGAATCCAAGTTCCAGGTCCCCCGGCCCCTGCCAGGAGGAGGGGAAGAGGCTCCAGGAAGCCGGGGTCTCCTGGCGGAAAGGAGGATCCGGGCAGGGCAGTCCCCGGGAGGCCCCAGATGAAGCCCAGGCCTGGTCTGACGCAGCCGGAGTGGATGTGACTGACTTCTTCCCCGATTTGGCCTGAAAGCAGGGGGCCACCGAGGGACATGAGGGACACGAGGGACAGAATCCCCAGGTCAGCTTTGAGGGAAGCTGCAGCACGTGCCGAGGGTCTCTCTCACTTTATCCACGATGGTGTCCACTTCTGCCATGGCCCCCAGACCTAGAGAACAACGCTGGGCTGTGTCCACGCCGGGGTCACACCACCAGCCCCCCAATGTTCTGCCCAGGCCAGAGCCCTCCCAGCCTCCCAAGACACCCCAGGAGCCCAGAAACTGCAGTGATGCTGTTCACACCACATCGCAGAGACAGCCGGGCACTCAGGTCCACTTTCATCTGGGCAGCTTTGGCCCTGCACCCAGGAGGGAGGAATCGGTCCTGTTCCCCAGGGGAGAGAGTGAGCACAGGGATCAGATCTGTCCCAGGTCACGGCAGCGGGCACTGAACCCGGACCCCACCCCAGCGAGTCCCTTCCCGGTGCCTGATGCCCACCTTGGTCTCCGCACACCAGCTTCTTGGACACGCAGGGGATCTCCGTGTAGCCGAAGGCCTTGAGCTGGCTCACCTGCTGTGCCGTGATGGGGTGCTCCCACATGGCGGTGTTCATGGCCGGGCAGAAGAGCAGGGGCTTGCTGCGGTCCCACGCCCGGATGACGCACGTCTGCCAAGAAGCACCAGGCATGGGGGGTTCCACTCTCGCTGGGCCTGCCACCTCCCACCTCCGGGCTGCATGCCGGGCACAGAGGACCACCAGGGGGCTCCTCCCCGCCAGCCCCCAGCTCAGGGCCCACCCCCTGACAGGCTCCAAAGCGCTCAGTGGCCCAGGCCCTCTACAGACTCCCCCCAGGCTGACAGTCTCCTCCAGCTGCCCTCCTGGAGGGCAGAAGCTACGGGGGCAGTGGGCAGGAGGCAGCCCACCGAGCTGAGGAGCAGCCTCGTACCGGCCTGCCCTGACACTGGCTGGATGCTGAGGTCGCTGAAGTGCACCAGTAAATACCTGCCCCACTGGGGCCGGAGCAACAGCACCGCTTGCCTTGCATGCGACCAACTCAGCTCAGTCCCCAGCACCACATACGGTCCCCTGAGCACTCCCAGGAGTGATTCCTGAGTGTGAAGCCAGGAGTAAACCCTGAGCGCCGCCAGGTGTGGCCCCCCCCAAAACAAACTACATGCTTTCCCCTTCGCAAAGCCGTCACTGGGGCTCTGGGAAGGAGCCACTCCTGGGAAACTGCTTGCAGGACCCAAGGTCACACTCCCACAGTGACGTGGGGAGGCCCTGGAGGAGGGGTGGCACCCTGAAGCAAGGGTCAAGGACTGAGGCCACCACCCCCTGGGTTCTGGCCCTGCCCACAGCACACTGGCCAGCTGGGGTGGATCAGCTGCTTCCTAGCCCGCAGCGCTCTCTGCCCAAGGGCTTCCGAAGCTTAGAAAGCAAAGGCTCCGGGAAGCCATGCCCCCGTGCTCTGCCTGGCGTGGGCACCACTCCCTATAGGCCTCTGGGGAGACAGTGGGCACAGGAAGGCTGAGTGTGGCCAGCAGGCCCGAGCCCAGGCTTGCCGGTGGCTGGCCCAGCCTGGGAAGGAGGGACATGACCTTGGGCCTGTCGCATCTTCCCAGACCCTGGTTCAGTTTCCAGCTGGTCCTCCCAGCAGGGCTCTGAACGGGCAGTTTGTCTCACTTCCTCTTGGCCCAGGGCCACCTGCGGCTTCTGCAGAAGCAGGAGTTCGCCTAGAAGGGCCTTGGACTCTGCGTGGGGTGCTGGGCTGGAGGCTAAGCTGGGTTCTCGCTACGTGCCCCCCAACCAAGGCACAATGGCCAGGCCAGAAGCCCAAGACACCCATGCAAATGTCTCTCCAGCTCTTCCCCTCCAAGTGAGGACATGGGGCCCCCTGGGTCTACCACGATGCCCTCCAACCTTCTGACAGCAAGAGGCCACCATGGCCGGTCACTTTGTGGGCCAATGCGGGTCCCAGATTGGCCCCTGCAGGAGACCCAGAGAAGTCACCTCATGGCTCGGGCCTGCTAGGCCGTTGGGACCCCGAGGAGAGCCCCGCCTCATCTGATCTCACGGCCCCTGGGCTGGGGAAGGGAAAGAGATGATGCAGGGCGCAGAGCAGGGCTTGAAGGGGACCTTTCACGAGAGGTTGGAGCTGTGGGTAGGGCTGGCGGGATCAGGCCCTTCGCCAGATCTGAGCTTCCCTGAAACATCTGTGTCTGCACCTGAAGAAAAACCTCTTTGAGGCAAAGACCTGGGGGGTCTTCCTGGGGCTTTGCCAGGGCTTAGCGGGTCAGGAGGTAGGAACCCCAAAGACCTCAAGACTTGGAAGGACAAGGGAGGTGGAGTTCTAGGGAGGCGGGCTGGCCTTCAAGAGCCGTGGGGGTGGTGTAACTCCTGGAGGATGCTTGTCCCAGAGGTGGTTGCTGGCCAGTCCAGTGAAGATGGGGGCTTGGTGGGACGCAAAGCTGACCCAATGGCCACCAGGGCCAAGCCTCACTTGCTCCCTGCCCTGTTGCACTAATCAGCCTATGGGAAATCAGTGACCACCCCCGACCCCCACCCCCTGCCCGGCCTGGCTCTGGGCCACAGTCTGCTGCTTGGTCTTTCTTCTCTTGGTCCTTGAGCTCTTTGAATGATGCCCAAATCATGAACAGCTTCTCTGAGAAGAACTTCCAGTGTCCTCACCAAGCATGTAAGGGGACCCATCTCCTGCTTGGCCCCCCAAATCCTGACCCTGGTCTAGGAAGAGAGCTCAGAGGGCAGGGCACACACTTTGCCCTGAGTCTTGGCTTACAGGGTCCTCCCGGAACTGCTGGGAGTGTGCCCTGAGGGTGGGGCCCCCTAAATTTTGCTTGTTTTAGGACCACACCCAGCAGTGCTCAGGGGTGACCCTGATGGTATCACCCTTGGGGAACCATACATGGTGCTGGGGATTTGAGCCAGGATTAGTTGCGTGCAAGGCAAGCACCTTGACTTCTGTACTCTCTCTGGGCCTAAAAACAAACAAACGAATATTCACCCCACTTTATCCGCTGCTTCTTCATAGTAGTGGAGCTCCTGGTTATTTGGGAAAATAAAACTGCTAATTGCCTTACCCCCATGACAAGCATTTACTGTGTGTCCACAATGAGCCTGGAGCTGTGCGGGGTGGCAGCTCCGTTCTCAAAGGGCTGACTGCACCCCCCAGCACCAAATGTGCCAGTCTGGGGCACCCAAGGCCTTGCCGTGCAGACAGCGAGCTCCCTGTGTCTATGCCACCAGACCTGCTCGTGGGAGATGCAGGCGTGGACAGAAGGGCAGGGGAGGAGCGTGTGTAAGTCGTTCCAGAACATTCGGAGAAGCGCAGCAGCCTGGGGGAACGGGGGCCCACCGTGTCCGCCCCCCCCACCACCACCACAATCCCCATCACATGTCACTGGGCTCCTCCTGCCCCACCCGCCACTGTCCACCCTGCCCAGCTGAGAAGCTTCTCGGCGGCTCAGCGCCTTCCCTCCTAGACAGGAAAACCACAGTGGGGCCTGTGGCGAGGGTGACGGCAGAGATAGGCGTGCGTGAGAGCGCCTCGAGGAAGTGAACGCGCTTATCAGGCAGGCCTGCGGACGAGCAGATGGCGAGAGGGGGACGGCGGGGAGCCCAGGAAGGCGCCCGCAGGTCACTGGGTCCCCGGGCTTCGGCCCCTCTGCTGGGGCTCTGGGCGGAGGCGGGGGGGCAAGGCAGGGAGGGGAGAGGAGAACGGGGCTGCGGACCATGATCTGAGCAAGGTGGAGCCTGAAACCCTCAGATCCTGGGCGCCTGGAGATCCGCCGAGCCGGAGGGAGGCCGGGGACAGGGAGGGACAATGGGAGTCACTCACGAGGAGGTTGTCACAGATGCCACTGGCCACCTTGCCCAGCGTGTTGGCGTCCAGGGGTGCCACCAGCAGGAGGTCCGCCCACCGCCGCAGCTCGATGTGCAGGACGGGGTCGGTCCGGCACTTCCACATCTGGCAGCGGGGAGGGAACAGGGTCACTGGAGCCCACGGCAGGCCCCCCGGCCGCTCCAGGGGAGCACTGACGGGGGAGCCAACAGCCTGGGAGAACCAGGCCCGAGGGAACAAACGCTCCTTGTCTCTCCCGCCATCCCCTTTCTGGGCGGTTTGCAAGAGAACTGCCATCTGGCAGGGAGCTCTGGCCCGTCTGCTGGAGCGGATGCTGGGGCTGTCCCGGCCAGGGGACGGACGGGTGGGGAAGACGGGCCAGCCAGAAATGTTCTGGGCCGAGAGTGTTTGAAAACGCCTGGCAGCGCAGCTGGGGGAGGCCCACACTCGCCCGCGCTGAGGTGGCGGCGGGGGAGCATGAGGCCCCCACAGCCCGGGGGCGGGCGTGGGAAGGCGGTGAGCCACGGCCCTGACCCCGGAGCCCCGTGCATGGGCTGGTGGGAACAGCTCCTCCGCTCTCGTCAGCCAGATAAGGGCCGGGAAGCTCCAGCCCCAGCAGGGGGCCAGCCGGCAGGAGAACAGGCCTCCCACGGGCCAGAGCCACACAGATGTTTTCCTCATCGCCAGCCCAGACCCCACCACCGCCAGCAGGCTCGAGGCTGGCCTGGCTGCTCTTGTCACTGGGGCCCAGAGTCAGCAGCCGCCTCGGTCCTGTGTGGGGATGGGGGGACACGTGATGGAGCTCTTGGGTACATTGCCCCCTGCCACTGACCTCCCACTCGTCAGCATCACTGTAGAGGGTGACCGGGACATCCTGGGGGCTGTAGAAATGTCTGGCTCTCTCGGTTGTCACCACCGCTACTTCCAGCTGTCACCAAGAATCAAGGGGAGGGAGGGACAGAACGTGTCAGCAGAGCCCAGGCCCAGAGGCCCCGGGAGGGCCGGCGGGGCTGGGGAGGACTCCCTAGAGCCCCACATTTGCATCGCAACTTCCTCCGCTGTCACCCGGAGGTCAGGCCCACCAGGTGTGGTCGGCACTTCCGAGCCCAGGGCCTGGAGGGGTGAGTCACCAACCGCCCAGGGAATATAAAGCTGCAGGTTCCTGCCCCTGTACAGGGAGGCAGAAGGAGGCCAAGAAGGGAGGCCGAGAGGGCCAGGACGAACCTGTGGACAGAGGGTCACCCTGCGACCCCATGGCCGCGGAACGCTGGCCGGGGCACAGCCTGGGCCTGCAGGATGCCGCACGCACACGGTGCCCGGTGACAAAGCAGGCGTGCCTTTGCGTCCTTCTAGGAACGAGGACCCGAGGGCCCCACATGCAGACAGGCACTAGGAAACCAAGCCCGCGTGACCTACCACAGGGCTTCCCAGGGCAGAGGCGGCAGCTCAGGGAAGGAGGAGAGCAAAGGGGAGGAAGAGGACGGAAGAAGGGAGAGGGAGGGAGGGAGGGAGGGAGGGCGGGAGGGCGGGAGGAGGCGGACAGTCTGACCTTCCCGCCATTCTTAGGAGACTGCGGTAATCCTACAGACACAAGACAGGCGGGGTGGGACATGCTGAAGGGGACAAAGGGCGTGGGAAAGAACGCAGGAAGCTCTGGTGGGCCGGGAGCAGAGAGCTGGGAGGGGCGGGAGGGGGGGGTTGAGAAGCTGAGGTCCGGCACAGCCGCTCCACGGGGCAGCTCCCGGCCACTCCACTCTCCCTGTCCCTTGAACTTGCACCAAACCTTTGGACTCTGTGAACTCAATTCCCCCTGGCATTGGACAGCCTGCTAGGACAGTCCTGGACTGGCTATGACTGGTTCCAAACAAGATGGTTCAGAAGCTGGTTGCTGCCTCTCCAGAACCTGCCCCTAGCAATGCCATAGGGACCTGGAGGCACGGCGCAGTGACGAGGGCAGGAGTGGGGGACCCCAGCGAGGGGGCTCGGGGACAGCACCGGTCTCACAGGCATGACATCTGGTACAGTGGCTGGGTGCTGAGCTCAACAAAGTGTGAGAGTGAGTGAGTAAGCGTGTGTGTGTGTGTGTGTGTGTGTGTGTGTGTGTGTGAGAGAGAGAGAGAGAGAGAGAGAGAGAGAGATGGAGGGGGGGACTAAAACATGAGACCCCCAACCTGAGCGTTAACAGACAAGAATAGCAGATGGAAGAAGCGGTGACTGAAGCAACATTTTTTTTTTAAGAAGTCAGGTGCAGAGGCCAGAGAGATAGTACAATGGGTAGGGCGTTTGCCTCACACACAACTGACCCAGGGTTCACTCCCCAGCATCCTTACAGTCCCCTGAGCACCACTAAGAGTAACTACTGAATGCAGATCCTGAGTATTGCCAAATATGCCCCCCACCCACACACTCCGCCCCCAAAAGGTGCAGGTGCTGGAGTGATAGTACCAGGGGGTAGGGTACTTGCCTCGCATGGCCAACCCAGGTTCAATCCCTGGCATCCCATTTGGTCCCCTAAGCACCACTAGGAGTGATTCCTGAATGCAGAGCCAGGAGTAAGCCCTGAGCACTGCAGGTGTGGCCCCCAAACGAAACAAAAATACAAAAATGAAACTTTCTGGTGGGTTAAATGCTTTTCATGCCCACAAAATCTACTTGACTAAAATTTTAAAAAAGGTAAAGGCCCTCCCGTTGATCGTCGATTTGCTCGAGCGGGCCCAGTAACGTCTCCATTGGAGACTTTGTTGTTACTGTGTCTGGCATATCGAATACTCTCGGTAGCTTGCCGGGCTCAAGTCAAGTAATTTTTTTTTTTTTTTTTTTTGCTTTTTGGGTCACACCCGGCGATGCTCAGGGGTTACTCCTGGCTCATGCACTCAGGAATTACTCCTGGCGGTGCTCGGGGGACCATATGGGATGCTGGGAATCGAACCTGTGATGGCCATGTTGGCTGCGTGCCAGGGAAACGCCCTACCGCTGTGCTATCGCTCCAGTCCCAAGTCAAGTAATATTTTAAGGTATAAACAACAACAAAGAGGAGAGGGTATTTAAAAACAAACAAACAAACAAAAAACAGGCAAGTGACAACAGTTAGGAGCAGTCTGCAAGTCTTTCCCAAACAGAACCAATTAGAAGAACGAGCACCAACAGGCTGAACCCTCCAAAAGAAGCTACTGGTAGCCCTGGAGAGACCAGAGGCCAGGCAGGGGCTTCCAGAGCAGGGGTGCCCCCATCACAGCAAGGCTCCCGCCCCTGCCAGAATACTGACCTCCTGCCACACTGGGGCAGCTGACACAGCAGAGGCACATACCCTGCTAGCCACCGGCACCCCACCTTTCCTTTCTTCTTTTTCTTTTTGGACCACACCCGGTAGTGCTGAGCACTTACTCCTGGCTTGGCTCAGGGATCACCCCTGGCAGGGCTCAGGGGACCACAAGGGATAATGGGAACCGAACCCAGGTCGGCCATGTGCAAGGGAAGCGCCCTCCCTGCTGTGCCAGGCCCAGGAGGGGCAGCCACTGGGAGCGTCCAGACTCTAAACCTGGGCCCCTGCTCCGCTCTGACAGCCAGTTTTACTCTGGGCCGCTGAGGCCCACAGACGAGCCAGGGATTATCAGATATTAGAGGAAAGCCCTCTGGCAAGTCAAAGAGATTAACCACATAAACAAACACAAAATAGAAACACCAGGGGAAGCACTTGAAAATACAAAAATCTGCGATTAATTAGCAGCCTGGGAAAGATGAGGGTTGCTCACAAGGACCGGGGACATGTGCTTTTTTTAATAAACGAACATTCAGGGAACAAAGAGCTCTTGGAAATTAAAATTATAAACAGTAAAATACAAAAGGCTGAAGTTAGGCTTACTTTTAAATTTTTTAAAAAATTACTGTTATTTTTTTTTTAATTTTTATTAGTGAAACACCATGAGGTACACTTGTAGACTTACAAATTTTTGTGCTTGGATTTCAATTAGACAATGATCAAATACCCATCCCGGGCTGGAGTGGGCTGGAGCGATAGCACAGCGAGTAGGGCGTTTGCCTTGCACACAGCCAATGTGGCCGACCCGAGTTCGAGTCCTCCGCCCCTCTCGGAGAGCCCGGCAAGCTACCGAGAGGATCTCGCCCGCAAGGCAGAGCCTGGCAAGCTCCCCGTGACGTATTCGATATGCCAAACACAGTTAACAAGTGTCACAATGGAGACGTTACTGGGCCCGCTCGAGAAAATCGATGAACAACGGGAGGACAGTGACAGTGACACTGACAGGGGCTGGAGTGATAGCACTCACTCAGGTAGGGCGTTTGCCCTGCCCAACTGGAGTTCGGTTCCCAGCATCCCATATGGTCCCCTGAGCACAGCCAGGAGTAATTCTTGAGTGCACGAACCAGGAGTAACCCCTGTGCATTGCTGGGTGTAACCCAAAAAGAAAAAAAAATATTGTTATTAGAGGCCAGAGCCATAGTACAAGTCAGTAGGGCATGTGCCTTGCATAAGGCTGACCTGGGTTCAATTCCTGGTATCCCATATGGTCCCCTGAGCAGTGTCAGGAATGATTCCTGAGGCAGAGTCAGGAGTAAACGCTGAGCACCGCCAGGGGTGCTCCCCCAAAATCATTGTTATTATTACTATTTTGGTTTTGGGTCACATGCTCAGGATTTACTCCTGGCTCTGTGCTCAGAGATCACTCCTGGCAGGCTCAGGGGACCGTACTGGGGACTGGAGAGATTAAGTCCAGCATGGAGGGTACTTGCCGTGCAAGCTAAATTTAGAAGGAAACTTCTAGAAAGATAAGGAGATTGTAGTGGAAAGGTGAGAAAGTGGAGAAAGCGCAGCTCGGGGAGATGTAAATCCAAGGCTAAGTTCCAGAGACAGAAAACAAAAAGGCTGCGGGGTGGGGAGACAGTCCCAAATGTTGGGTCCCCGCTAGCCTGGTCGGCCGAAGAGCTGCAGGAGTGGCCCCTGAGCGCTGCCCGGAGTTCCCCACCCACCTGTCCGCCCACCCCAAAACCCAGAGGCAAGAGAGCCAGGGCTGTGGGGCTCATACTTTGCTCCAGCCCAGAGCACCTGTTCTAGGTGCTCGGACACCCTCAGCCCCAGCCCTCCTCGGTCACCACACATCCTGCTACCTACCTACCTACAGTAGGACGAGACGCTTGCCTTGCAAACCAATGCTGACCTCGGTGCCCCAGGACAGACCAATAGGCGCAACTAACTCAACTTGGACTCAGGTCCCTCCTCTGTGTTCAAACTCGGAAGAGAAGACGGACACAAGACAGGCCTCCAGAGTCCTCCTCATTTCTGTGTCCTCCCTGCCGCCCTGCTGGGATGCTCTGTCCACACCAGCCCGGGTTTCCCTGGGCCATCTTCCCCCACCTCAAGCACTGTTTTCCTGGTTCCGTCGACAGTGGGTTTCCCAGACACCTCCCTCCCCACCAGCTTCCCTCACTGCCTTCCTCTCCCCACAGGACACCCCTGTCTCCTCTCAAACCCAATCACCGCACCGTTTGCCATGTGGCCCTGCCCCAGCTCAGGGGCCAGGGGAGACGGCTCCCAGCACCGAGCGGGTCTGGATGAAATTTGGCGAACGGCCTCCAAAGAGACTGACCCCCACTCCCAACTTCCAACTTCCAGCCTTCAGCAACTCAGCACCGCTCCTGATTGCAGTAGGGCCCTCTTTCGGGGCTCTCTTCCTCTCTGTGCTCCCCTTCATTCCCTCTGCACCCCCGTCCCTGTCTCAGATTCCTATTCCTCATGGCCCAAGTGCCAAGCACGGGCCCAGTTCAGCCTCCCACCCCAGCACCAGAAAGGGACTCCCTGGGGGGACGGAGCCATACATCGTACAGCAGGTAGAGATTCTTGCCTTGCACGCAGCTCACCTGGGTTCGATCCCTGGCACCCCATAAGGCTCCCTGAGCAACACCTCCAGGAGTCATCCCTGAGCACAGAGCCAGCAGTAAGCCCTGAGCACCGCCAGGTATTGGCCCAACCACCATCCTCCCCGAAGGAGAGCTTCCTGGAGCCTATGTCCCAGTACAGTGGAGCGTGAGGGGCCATGCTGCCCCCTGCCTCTGCCCTGATCCCATGAAGCAGCCACTGCCAGTCGCCCTGAGCCCAGTGGGGGGTGTGGGGGGGTCGCTAATCCAGTTTTTCTGGTTTTAGAGGGATGTTACTTTACCTGATTCATCAGTTCTTTGGACTTTGTTCTGACATTTTCATTCCTCTATCGAAAGGTCTCCAGAGCCCCAGGGGTGGAACATGGGATGTGACAGACTGGTAGATAGATGGATAGACAGACAAATAGATCTATGTCTACATACATGTGTGTGTGTATCTATATAGATCATGTTTGAGTTACTGTTGTTTATTTCTTAAACAACATCTGGCAACATCTGGCAACGCCTAGGAGTTACTCCTAGCTCTGTGCTCAGGAATTACTCCTGGCGGTGCTCAGAGGACCATAGGGGCTGCTGGGACTTGAACCCAGGTCTCAAGGTCAGCTACCTGCAAGACAAGCACTCTCCCCACCGTCCTATCTCTCTGACCCCTCCCCAAATCTTCTGAACCAGAACCTGGCACCCCACTATCCAAAAGGTACCTGAGCTCTGCTTCTGGACACTGTTCCCGATTTTGTCCTGAAAGAAACTAGGGGTGGTGTTGGGTAGGGCCATACCTGGTGTCGATCAGGGGCTATTCCTGGCTCTGACAGTGACCCCTAGCAGTGCTCAGGGCTCATGCTGGGGCCAGCCATGAGCAAGGCCAGCACTCTCTCTGTCCTGAAATGCACACAGGCAATAAAGCATTTCCTTCACCAGACACCAGAGTTTGCCATGGGCTCAGCCCCAGGTGCTAACCAAGGCCTGTGAACATTTCTGCCTCCCCCAGATCAAAGGTTTCCTGGCGGGGAGGCTGTGGTTGAAAGCCACTGTCAGGGGCTGGAGCCATAGCACAGCGTGTAGGGAGTCTGTCTTGCCCGTGGCCGACCCAGGTTCGACTCCCAGCATCCCATATGGTTCCCTGAGCACCTCCAGGAGTAATGCCTGAGTGCATGAGCCAGGGGTAACCCCTGTGCATTGCCACGTGTGACCCAAAAAGAAAAAAGAAAAGGCCATTGACAGTTGAGTCCAGGTCAGTTTTGGCAAACAGGCAGGAAATTTCTGCAGAGCTGTGGGTGGGATGGGGGGGGGGGGGGGGGGGTTGTAAACCACTACCGTCAAAATTGCCAACTGGTCCCCAGGAAAGCAGGATCTGCCTGGCACCTCCCTCCTTCCCTGGCCCTGGGCAGCCCTCAGGGTCCTGACAGGACTTAGGGAGGGCTGGGGGTGGGGGGAGCAGGTCACAGCTCAGCACTCAGGCACTCAGGGACCCCCGGCTCCCTGTCACCAGCTGAGTGTCTGTCCTTCCTGGGCACACGGCTAGACTTCCACGACCAGGGCTGGGGGGGAGGAGGGCTGTCTGGGAGGCGGTGGTCAGAGTACCCACCCCCACTTACTTACAGGGGACAAGGAAACCAGGCCAGGAAGAAGGGACTTGTGGGCCGGCTCCCCCGTACTTAATGCAACAGCTTTCTGGGAGCTGCGCTGGTGGTGGGTCCCAGGCTGACTGCAGCCCTCTCTGTTGGTCACCCTGGAGCCTCCCCACCCCCCAGGGTTTGGGGGAGCCTTAAACAGGAAGAGCTGAGCAGGAAGGGTGAGCCCCATGGCATAAGGGGGCCCCCAACGCCAACCCAGACTCCTGCATGGGCCGTTCCTGCGCGATGGGAGGGGTGCGGGCTCCTCCCCACGCCCATCTCACCAGGCTCCCTGCTCCTCGTGCCACGTGGCTGGCCGAGGGTGGGCAGCAAGGGGAAGGACAGGGTGAAGGACCCAGGAGCCCTGAGTGCCAGAAGCTGCGCCCAGGACGCAGCAGGGCCCACCCCGGGGTCCCGGGCACCCGGCTGCCCGCCTTCCAGCCTCCCCCCACCCGGCGCAGGGGGAGAGCCAAGCCCTGGCCCGTAGCAGCCTGTGGGCGCTGCCCAGGCCACCCCCAGGCCACCCGGCCGGCCGCGGGGCCTGGGGGAAGGGGCACTGCTTCCAGCCGGCCGAGGCTGCCCATCTGTTTCCTGGGATAGGGCGCTCCGCCCCCACCCGCCCGGCCGGAAATCCACTTGCTCTGGGGCTAAGGGAAAGGCCCCTCCCCGGGGCAGTGCCCCTCACCGCCTGCCCGTGCCAGTGGCCACACCCGCCCAGCGGGCAGGCGGGGCAGGCCCCAGCGCTGCCGGCCTCGGAGGGGCCTTGCGGCTCCCCTCCCCTCCCCTCGCCTCCCCCTGCGGTCCTGGCGGGCATCCCTGGCGGCCAGCCTCAGGGGCGGTGGAGCGAGGCGGGACTTTGTGGCCCAGAAGTTTTGGGGAAGTGAAAGGAAGCCCAGGAGCGGCCCAGGCCATCTGCGAGTGAGCACTGCCACCTGCTGGACATCCAGCCCCATCGGGCAGTCCCACTGCACCCTCACAGACCTGTGCCCAGCACCCTGTAGTTCTGCAACCTCCCCACTAAGTGACCAGACTGCGCTCGCTCAGGGGCCACTGAACCACTTTTGGTGGGGCATAGGGGGGCCACACTCATCTGTGCTCAAGGTTCCTCCTGGCTCTGCACTCAGGAATCACTCCTGCCGGTGCTCTGGGGGCCATATGGGATGCCGGGATCCAACCCTGGGCAGCTGTGTGCAAGGCAAATGCCCTCCCCACTGCACTTTCTTTTTCTTTTTTTTTTTTTTTTTGGTTTTTGGGTCACACCCGGCGATGCACAGGGGTTACTCCTGGCTCTGCACTCAAGAATTACCCCTGGCAGTGCTCAGGGAACCATATGGGATGCTGGGGATCGAACCCAGGTCAGCCGTGTGCAAGGCAAACACTCTTCCCACTTGTGCTATCGCTCCAGCTCCCCCTGTGCACTTTCACTCTGGCCCTGAACCACTTTTTCTACTAGGCCCATTTCTAGACCTTGTCCTCAGAGGGCAAGACTCCTTACAACCACTAAACCAAAGCAGAAGGAAAGGGAAGTAAAGCCACTGGGCCAGAAGCAGCCAGGAAGGCCCAGCTGGGAAGTGCCTGTGTAGGAGACAGCGGGTAGAGGGGCCGGGTGAAGCCTGGCCAGCCCCCAGAACAGAGAGGGGGGACAGAGGATCAACAAGAGACTTGGGGTACCCCACCAAAGGCCGCTTTTACCCTGCTGAAAGTCTTGACGGGGGCTTTCAAAAGAATGTGCTCTGGAACTCTAATCTATAACACCAGTCCAAATCGAGGGGGCGAGCCAGGAAGCTAGCTTGCCCACCTCCCCCCTGCCACCCCCATCGCTGCAGCAGGCACCTCTGAACACCAGGAGGAGCGAAGTGTGAACCCAGAGCAGAGGGTACCCGCGAGTCCCTGGGGTTCCGGTGCTTGAAGAAGGCTCAGAACTGCAACATGCAGATGACTAGGGCAGGGCAGGGGTCAAGAACATGCCACCTTCCCAGGTTGGTGGCTCGTGGACGGGAACCCACTGATACCGGCCACCACACATCTGTGGACAAAGAGCTGTCAGCAACCCCCCGCTGAGCAAAAGAAAACCAGGGCTGGAGCGACAGTACGGCAGGTAAGCAACTGACTTGCATGCAGAGACCCAGGTTTGATCCCTGGCACCTCCTAAGGTGCCCCCAGTCTTGCCAAGAGGATCCCCGAGTGCAGAGTGAGGAATAAGTCCTGAGCACCATTCGGCGTGGCCCAAAAACCAAAGAAAGAGAGGAAGGAAGGAAGGAAGGAAGGAAGGAAGGAAGGAAGGAAGGAAGGGAGGGAAGAAAGGAAGGAAGGAAGGAAGGATGGAAGGAAGGAAGGAAGGAAGGAGGGAGAAAAAGAAACCCCCCACACACCGCACTGCCCCCACTGTGGGTTCTGAGACTGTGGTGGCAAATTGGTCACCAGGATACTCACGTCGGGAATGGCCAAAAGCTGTGACACCAGGAGAGGCAACTTCAGGGCTGCCACGCTCCCGGTGACGCCCACGAGGACATGGATCTTCCTCTCCACTGAGGCTGTGCCCTCTGGACATGAGGCTCTGGGTTCCATAGGACTGTGAGGCCTTTGCGTTCAGGCAGCCTGTCAGGACGGGACTCCATAAAGCTCTGCCAGGGGGCCGGAGAGGCAGCTCAGTGGGCTGAGCTCAGGCTGTAGCCGCAGAGGCCCAGGTTCCATCCCCCAGGCACTGCATGGTCCCCCAGCACTGCTGGGAGCAACCCCAAGCACAGAGCCAGGAGCCCCCACGCACCACCGGGCATCACCTCCCCGCAACAGAAAATAAATAAAAACAAAAGCCAAAAGCCCTTTCGGAACAAGCAGCACTTCTTCATTCCAAAACTCAACAAAAATGTGCTGCGCCCCTTGTTAGACGCTAGCTCAGAGGCCATGATTCCTGAACTGGGAGCATGCAGCTTCTGAAGAGGTCAGACAGGGCCAGAGAAATAGGACAGCGGGAAGGAAGGCCTTACCTTGCACACGGCTGACCCGGGCTTGATCCCTGCATTGCAGATAGGTCCCTAAGCACTGCCAGGAGTGATCCCTGAGCACTGTCCGGTGTGGTCCAAAAACACCCTCACTTGGGCTTAGAGCAGTAATATAGCAGCTAGGGTGCTTGCCTGGATGCAGTTAATGCGGGTCTGAGCCTATGCACACAGGCTGTGCGTCGTGTTTGGATCCACGGCCTGACTTCTACCTGGTGGGCCCAGGACTCCAAAAGGCCTCGGCCCTGCTCAGCAGCAGTTAAACAAGGCAAGTTCCTTTAGTGCAAGACCCAATTTCTGCATGGGGACCCCAGCCAGAGCCATGCTTGCCTGGAGCAGAACCAAGTCCACACCAGGCCAGAAGAATGCAGCCAGCCACGGGGTCTAGAGAGGCAACCCAGCAGCTTCTTCTCCAAACTGACGCTAAGGCTGGTTAGTTCCCATAGCACAGGAGCTGATGGTTGGGGCACTCAAATCACCTGTAAACTCTACCTGTTCCACACCAGCAGATGGGTTCTGGGGCAGGAAGGTTCCTGCCACACCGGAAGCTGAACTGCATCTCTACATCCAGTTGATATCATCTCTTTAGAGCAGGTTATTGGACAGTGGAGAAGGCGCTGGCCTCACATACAGCTGACCCAGATTCAACCCCTGGCACCACTTAGGGTCCCCCGAGCACAGAGCCCAGAGTAAGGCCCAAGCCCCACCAGAGTGGCTTGAAAACAAGCAAAAAGGAACAGGTTACGAAGGAACAGGAACCTCACAGTCAGTTAAAGCCGGGGCAGTGACTACATCTAACAGCTTCCTCAAAGCAGCAGGTGGAAAAATTCAAAACTTGCACTCAGCCTGCTGAGCAAGCTTAGCTAAGGACCACAAGCTTAGCTAAGGACCAGCCTCAGTGCCTGTCTAGACAAGCAGGGCGGGGCAAGTGCATGTACATCCCGTAACCCACATGAAGGCCAATCCGTTCCAGCTGGACTCCCAGGGAAGGCAACAGTGGGCAAGAGTTGAGTCTGTTTGCACCCCCCCAAAAAAAATCAAATCTCAAACCAGCAAGTCATTTGTTTTCTTTTTTTTGTTTTGTTTTTTTTGTTGTTGTTGGGTAAGTGTTGCTCAAGGGGTTACTTCTGGGGCTCTCAGGAATTACTCTTGGTAGTGCGTGGGGGACCATATGGGATGCCAGGGATCGAACCCGGGTCATCCACATGCAAGGCAAACCCCCAATGCATTATGCTATTGCTCCGGCCCCAGGTCATTTTTTTTTCTCTTCAACTCTTATGAATCCATTGATTTGCACACCTAGGTAGACAGCACCTCATCTCCACGAGCCGTGCTCACCTCCCTCCGAGGGTATCTCAGCAGTGGGAAGGATGGCAGGCAGAAAGGCATGGGCTAAAGGCTGTGATTACTGGACCTCCAGCTTCCAGAGTGCCAGTCACCCCGGTAAGCCGCAACCGAAAACACAATACGTCAGAAAGCCAGACAGAGTTGAGATCTCTGGCTCGGGCAGGCTGTTGTGATGGTTCAGTCTCCATCTTCGATGAGTCTAATTAGGGCAGAATTTATGGTTTCAAAAATACCATAGGGGGGAAGGGAGAGGCAGGGCTGAAAAGGGCCAGCAGGATATGACCCAACCCGACACAAGAATGAGGAAGGGCCAGAGGACAGTACTGGGGTTAAAGGTGCTTGCTCAGCACGAAGTTGGCCCTAGTTTGATTCCCAGCACTGATTACGGTCATCAGAGTCGCACCAGGAGTGACACCCATGCAGAGAGCCAGGAGTAAGTCCTGAGCACCACCAGGTGTGACCCCCAAACAAAAACAGAATGATGAGGCTCTGGGGCATAGGCAAAACAAAATAAAACATGGAGGTAAGGGTGAGCATATATCAGGATCTATTCAGGGCTCAAATCCTTCGGTTTGAAGTCAAAATCCTTCACTCCTGGGGCCAGAGCAATAGTACAGCAGGGACAGCTTGCATGAGGCCAACCTGGTTTCAATCTCCGGCATCCCATGTGGTTCCCCAAACCCACCAGGAGTGACCCCTGAGCAGAGTCAGGAGTAAGCCCTGAGCACCGCTGAGTGTGGCCCCAAAATAAATAAAATGAAACCTCTCGCGTCCTTATCCCTGTCCTTATCCCAATATCCTGCTCTACTCTCTGCTCTAGTAATGATGAACAATCGTAGCTCTGTACCACTCCGCCCCTAAACACAGTGACACAAAGAAAAACACTGGCCTCCTTCCCTGGGGAAATGCACTCACTTCCAAAGAGTGCAGACGGGCCTGTGGTTCTGCAAAGACTGCTCTGTTCTCCGGCCAAAAGCAGGCGTGCTAGCCTGCAGCCCCTGAAGGCCAGCTTAGAACCCCGTTAGGTCCCTCTCTTCGAGGCCACACACCGTGGGGACATACTCTAAATGACAGACATCTAGATGACGTGCCATCACACACAGTGCTAGCAAGGCTGTTAGGCACGGGTGTGGAGGGGGTCCAGGGGAGAAGAAGTAGTTCATAGGGCCTTGGCAGCTGGGGAAGACTCCCCACTAGGGTCCCTAACCACCCTCCACCTGACCACAGTTCCTTGAGTGACAACTCCCAGCAAAAAACATCATTCATACCCTGGATGGCTATCGTGGAAGCAAATTCATGGGACAGTTTGGGGTGTGTGTTTTGGTTTCCAGGCCACGCCTGGCTCTGCTTAGGGATCACTCCTGCAACTCATGTCAGCTGCATGCAAGTCAAGGGTCCCTACCCGCAATACGCTCTTCGTTTTGGGGTTTTTTTTTTTCCCCTTAAACTTTATTTTAACGTAAGGAAAACGCAGAGCCGCCTTATGTTATTGTTGTTTTTCGGGGGGGGGGGTGTCTCAGTGAGCAGTGCTCAGGGATGACTCCGAGCGGGGTCGCCGCGTGCAAAGTAACCCCCGGACCCCGCGCTCTCCCCCCAGCCCGAGCCGCCTGCCACCCCCCCACCCCCCACCCCCAGGCCCGGCGGCCGGGGCAGCCCCGGGCGCAGCATCGGCGCCACCGAGGGGTCGACTCGGACGCGGCCCGCTCCCACCGGCCCCAGAGCCCCTCGCGTGGCCCCAGACCCCGACTCGAGCAAGGGCCCCCGGGTCGAGCAGACCCCGGCCGGGCCCGCCGCGGAGCCCACTCTGAACGCTCACCCGCGCCAGGCGCGTCTCGGGCAGCCCCCAAGTCCCGCGAGAGCGCCCCGCCGCTCCCGCCGATTCTATTGGCGCACAGGATCACGTGGGCCGGGTCGGCCCGGTGCCTTCGCACGGCCTTCTGGGAGTTGTAGTCCAGCCCACGCGCCCGGCCGCTGTCCTCGCTGTCGAAGGGGAACCCAGTTCCTCGGGGTCTCTGCTGCTCTTTCTCCTGAGCCTGGCCTCCTGATCAGAATTTATTTTTTCTTTTTTTTTTTTTTGCGGGGGCGGGTCTCACACCCAGCGACGTTCTTAGGTTGTTCTCGAACTCCTGGATCTGCACTCAGGGGACCATAGGCGATGCTGGAGACGAGCCCAGCCGCGTGCAAGGCAAACACACTTCCCTCTGTACGATCGCTCCGGCCCCAGATCAGAATTTATCTCCACCACTATTTTCACCACCATCCCCGCTCCTCCTCCCCTCCACGCCCATCCGTCCCACCTGCACACACAGTTCATCGGTTGGGGCATTTACAATGGAACATTTACAGAGATGTAACGTTAATCTCACCATTCTACAAAGAAGTGATCGTTGATGTCAAGAGAGGGGTGCGGCAGGGTGATACCATTTCACCGAAACTCTTCAGTGCCACCCTCGAGAACATCATGCGACGACTGGAATGGGAAGGAATGGGAGTGAAGATAGATGGTCGGCAACTACACCACCTCCGCTTTGCTGATGACATTGTTTTAGTAACACCAAACATCAGCCAAGCGGCACAAATGCTGGCCGACTTTGACCGTGAGTGTGGAAAGGTAGGACTACAGCTGAATCTCACGAAGACAATGTTTATGAGAAACAGCCTCGTTCCTGACGCCCCATTCGCTGTCAACAGAATGACCATCTCCGAATGCAACAGCTATGTGTACCTAGGTCGAGAGGTCAACATGACAAATGACCTGGCACCCGAGCTGCACAGGAGGAAGAGAGCGGCTTGGAACGCCTTCAAGAACGTCGAAGAAATAGCTAAGAGGACGAAGAACCTCCGGCTCCGGGCACATCTCTTTGATTCCACTGTTCTTCCTGCATTAACATATGCCTCAGAGACCTGGGCCCTACGCAAACAAGATGAGAACGCCATTCAGGTCTCCCAAAGAAGAATAGAAAGAGCTATGCTTGGAATATCACGTTTCACTCAAATGAGAGAACGAATCCGGAGTTCTGACATCCGTCGACGATCAAGGATCAGGGACGCTGTCTCATTTGCCAAGGTGTCGAAAATCAGATGGGCTGGTCACATAATGAGATTTAAAGACGACCGCTGGACTAGAGCTGTTACCGACTGGATTCCATGGGATGTCAAAAGACCGCGTGGCCGCCCACCTACCAGATGGTCAGACTTCTTCGTCAAGATCATGAACGATCAGTTTGAGGCCCTTCATGTTCCCAGAGCGAACAGATGCCATTGGGCTACACTAGCACGCGACAGGGACAAATGGAGACGTTACTGGCGCCCGCTCGAGCAAATCGACGACTAACGGGAAGTTAAGTGATTAAGTGATTAACGTTAATGGGAGTTTTGTTTGTTTTTTAGATTTCAGGCCAGCCACACTCAACAGTGCTCAGAACTTATTACTGGCTCTGCTTTCAGGGACCACGCCTGGCAGAGTTCAGGGGGTCAGACGGGGATGCCAGGGACAGAACCAGTCAGCAGCGTGCTAGATAAGTGCCCTGCCTGCTGTACTGTCACTCCAGTCCCTAATTTTAATTTTTGCTTGTGTGTACAAGTACACACACGTGTACTTAGAGCTTATTCCTGTGGTTCTGCGCTCAGGGAATCACTCCGGGCAGAGCTTGGGAGGGACCAAATGCAGAGCCAAGGAAAAGAACCTGGATGAGCATGTTCAAGGCAAGGCAAGCGCCTTATCCACTAACCATCTCTCCAGCCCCAGCTCTTCGGTGTTGCAAGTGCGCCTCTGCTCGTAGGGCAAGCGGGGACAGAATGTTACAGAATGAGGTCCTCTTTGAGGAAGCAAAAGGGCTGGACAAGTAGGGCAAAGAAGCCGGTCCAGGAGCCGCTGCAGAATCATCAGAGGCCCGGACAACAGCAGAACAGCTCTCCATGCAGAAGACAGCACCAGCCATGCGAGAGACAGGATGGTGGGGCCCCCTGGCTGCCTTCTTCAAGCTGCTGGTGCCCCCAGGACCACCCTGATCCTCCAGACTGCTCACTGAACTGCAGGTCTCCATCTGGGAGAGCTGAGTGGGCTCCACCTACCCAGCCAGCCTTCCACTTCTGCCCCTGTAACCACTGCCTGCCTGTGCAAGGCCGCCCCAGTGGAAACACACAGAACCATGGCACCCCCCCTCCACACACACACACATACCCCACAGCCCAGGAATATCCACAACACCAAAGGAGACACAGGATAATGTTCCCCTTTATTATGGTTCACTGAGTTACCACAGACAGACACACCGGCTCGGGCAGGTCCACTGCCAGCTGGAGGACAGTCAGCATCTCAGAGACGAGGAGAGACAGCAGGTACCAGACCAGCTCCCTGGCTGGCCACAGACCTGAAGATTCCCAGAACCTGCGCCTTTCCCCACCCCGTCTCCCAAGGCAGACGGTCAGGCAGAGACGCCTGTGTGCCCAGCGTCCACTTCTCATGCTGGCTCCCTTCCAGGAAAGTGCATAGTTGCCTGGAGATGCAGCATCCCAGGGCCTGGACGGGCTGGGCCGCACGCAGTATCAGGCCTTCCCATGGGCCGAGTCAGGGCGCTGCCGGGACAGGGAGCCGAGGGGGCGCGCGACCCAGCAGGTCTTGGATCCTGGGCTGGCAGTCGGACCACGGGCCTCTTAAAGCTATGGGAGACTAAGGGAGCCAGAGGCTGGGGTGGGATATGGGAGAAGGCCGGGGAGAAAGCGCCTAGACTGAGAGTCTCCAGGTCGTAGGGCCTCTACCGGCAACACCATCACAACATTTGGACCGGAACAGCCCCATTGGCCTGACATCACTGTCCTGGGAGTTAATGCTGGGTGGGGTGGGGTGTGCTGCCAAGATGAGGAAGGGCCAGGAACCAAGTCCGGCGGGAGGAGGGAAGCAAGTTAGCTTGAATGGGAAAGAGCAGAAGCTGGGTGTCCCCGCCCCACCAGCCCTCCTGTGTGGAGTCAGTGGACCAGAGAAGACTGCTGTAGTGCTCAGAGCCGCCCTGATGGGGTGGGGAAGGCACGGTCCCCTCCTGCAGGGTCCCGCCTCCCTCCGATCTCCCTTCCAGGCCCAGCCCTCCAAGCGCATCCCTTCTAATGGACCCAAATGGCATCCTACAGCTCCCAGGAAGCCAAGAGCCACTCAGAGATGCTAGCGCCAACCCAGAGGGCTGGGGCCTGCCAGACCTCAGCCCGGGACCTGCAGTGAGTCACACGGCTCTGCTCCAGTGCCACCTGAAAAACGCCACCCAGCAGCATCGGGGTGTCGGGTCACGGCAGCTGGAGGCACGCAGAGGGATGCAAGGGAGAGAGCAGGGGAAGAGCAGGGGAAGCAGAGTAGGGAGAGGAGGCTGCCCTCAGAGGCCAAGCTCAGCGAGCCAAGGAGCAAACACAGCATCCCCCTTCCCTAAGAGTCAGTACCCAGTGAGCGTGGCACCACCCGCACCCGCCTCTCTGCCTCCACTTCCTGTTTTCCAGGCTGGCTGAGCATCTGACTGCTACCTTGACCTGGGAAAAGACTGTCTCAGGAGGACAGATGGCTGAGACTACTCGGCCTTGGGGGAAACTAAGAAGTCACAGGGAGGGGGTGTTGGTGGAGAGAAAGCACGCGCGCTCACGCCTAGGCAAGAGAAGAGGTCCCAGGGACTGACAGGGAGGAGAGAGGGGGGTGGGGGCGGGCAGGAGACCCAGTTCAGCAGGACAAGGTGCGATCAATCCCATGCCTATGGCCCGTGCCCCCCTGCCCACCATACCATCTCTTCCCAGGAAGACCACCCAGGGAAAGATGTGTAGCTCATAACCCAGACTAGGGGGCCAGGCTCTCTGCTCCAGTCCCTGCCCCAGGAGGGGCCCCTGGGCCAAGCTCCACGCTGGCAGCCCGGAGGAGGGGAAGGGCTGGTTTAGTTCTAAACGGACATCTAGCACCACAGCAGAGACCATCACGGCACGCGAGTTCACAAGAGGACACACACACAGCTACCCCCGCCCTGGCCTGCTCCCCGAGAAGCTCACTGCTCCCGGGGTGCAGAGAGTGGACCCCAGGGGGTGGGCCACGGGGAGAGACGTATACATATATATGTACATATATATATAGAACTCTGATTCTTTGTACAAAGTGGGGGGAGGAGAGGAAGGAAAGGGGAACCCTGCTTGGTCACAAGAGAGGATGTGGCCGGAGCCCCCCACTGGCTCTCGGCACCCGGCCGGGCCTCCAGGCGGGCGCGGGCAGCTCACATCTCGTTGGAGTAGGTGTAGTTGGGGGTGGCGGAGTACTGCGTCTGTGGCTGGCTCATGGCGCCCTGGGCCGCACCCATGGCCGCGTTCTGGGCCGCCTGCTGCACGTGCGGGTTCTTCCATGCCCCTGTGGTCCACTCCTCCTGCGCCTTGCTGAAACTCCCCCCACTGCCCCGGTAGAACTTATGGACCTGCAGGAGGAGGAACAAGAGAAGGAGCGCCTCAGATGGAGGAAGGGGCCCACCCAGCGGTGAGCCTCTGTCCACTCACGCCTTCGGAGCCAAGCTCCCCCCCCAAGCAACTCCATACGCCCCCCCCCCCGGAAAAAAACCCCAATCCTCCTGTGCCCAGGGAGGGGCTCTTGCGGATCACCCCCCCTTCTCCCGGCAGCCCCCTCACTCTGGCCGCGAACACGTACCATGCTGAGGGCAATGAAGGAGAAGACGGCCACGACCGTGAACATGACGGTGGGGATGAGCATCACCACGGCCGAGCCGACGTTCGTGCCGAAGAAGGAGATGGTGGCGATCCAGCCGCTGGAAGAAGACGCAGCTTTGGGCCACCCTGCGTGGGTGGAGGGGGTCCCCAGCAGCCGCCTGACTCTTAGCAGGGAGAGCCATCCCTCACCGGATACAAAGGGGCCATGTTCTATGGCACCCAAAGTGCACGTGGCAAACCCTGGTACTGGGTGCAGGAAATGCCCCTCAGGTATCCGGTCCCTTCCCCTGGGCTCTCCCAGGATCCTGTACGTGCCCCAGCCCCTGCTTTTTTGTTTTGTTTTACTCTGTGTTTTGGGGGGCCACACCCAGCTGTGCTCAAGGCTTCCTCCTGCTCTACACTCAGGCATCACTCCTGGTGGGCTCGGGGGTCCCTATGGGATGCCAGGGGTGGAAGCCAGGTCTGCTGAGTATAAGGCAGGTGCTTTACCCGCTGTACTACTGCACCAATCCCGATTTTCAATCTTTTTTCCCCTGCACAGGCCGGAGGTCGAAAACCAGCTGGCTGCAAGGTCCTGCCTCCTCTTTCTCATTCAATAACTCAAGGTGCCTCCCCCGGGCCAGGACAGCGGTGAGCAAAGGACAGAGCCGGGAGCCAGCCTGCCCACCCTGGGTGAGTCCCAGACGCTGCAGACACTTACCAGACACCCCAGCCGGGGATGCCCACAGCCTGGATGATGCTAATGACCATCTGAGCCATGAAGGTGAAGAAGAACGCCATGAAACTGAAGGAGCTGTCGGTCCTGTGGCGGGAGAGACAGTTCCTATCATCCACTGGGCAGAGGGCCAGACTTCCCTGCCTTTGCCCCGTGCCCCCTGGGGGAAGGAGCATACAAGGACAAGTATGTCAAGGTCTTCATTAGGAGCCCCCAAAAGGCCAGTGCCCACCCGTAACCGCTGCCAGGCTCCACGTGTTAAACACTCCGTATGTGTGCAGCATTACAAGGCACAGACCGCCCCCGTGCGTGAAGAACAGACACCCCCTTCCCCCCACGAAAGCAGACGGCTGCACTTGGCTCGAATAAACACCCCATAGTCCAGGGATGGTCCCAGAACTCAGAGACAGAAAGGCCACCGCACTAGAGTGGACAGCCAGTCAGCAACAAGCTTTATTGCCCTACTAGCACACAGGACGGTCTGGTTGGCACAGGCACCTATGAAGGCCCATCGTGGGCAGTCCTCTGGACCTGGACAGACAGCCTTCTCGAAACAGGGACAAGAACCCCCTTGGCACAAAAAAAAATTGAAGTTCCCATCCAACCCAGGGGCAGCATGGCAGCGCCAGTGACGCGGGGATGGGCGGTCCCTTTGGCACAGCACTGAAGATCTCATGGGCACACAGTGTCGCGTGCTGGGTCCACGTGCTCCTACAGAGACGTCCACACGGACCAAATCAGAAGCCCCGTGGGCGCCGCCGAGACAGGCGGCTACTTTGGCACAAGGTAACGTGCAGCTGACTAGGGAGAGAAAAACAAGCTCTGTGTTACCTCTGCCTTCTCCTGCCGTCTGGGGCGTAAACGGGGGGAAGTGAACTTGGGGGGGGGGGAGAAAAGATAAAGAGAAGAGACGGGGGGAGACGGGCAGAGAGACAAGACACGGGGCTGGGGTCCGTGGCAGTCACTTACTTGAAGGCCTTGTAAATGGGCCGAAACCAGCAGACGTAGGAGCAGGGTGTGAAGAGGATGAGCCAGAGAAAGGCGAGGCCAAAGTTGGTGGCTCCCCCGCCTCCGATCAGCCACGCGAGGCAGCCCACCAGGTTCACGGCCAGCGTGACGCTGTTCACTGCAGCCCCAGGAACCCACACACACAGCGGACGCGCGCGTGCGCACACGCACACACACACACACACACACAGCAGCACATGGAGACACAAGAGCACAAACAGCCACCATCCAACATGCAGCCAGCACAGATGAGCCGACGCCCACCGAGATTCACAGCCATGATCCACAGGGGCCAACACACACACACAGACACACAGGGACACACAGACACACACACAAACGCACACACACAGAGAAGTAAAGACGGTAAGAAAGAAAGCTGGGAGGGAGCTCAGCCCCACCCCACCCCACTCCTAGTTCTGAGCATCTAAGAAACCCTCAGCTGGGTCCCGGAGGCCCCATACAGCAAGCAGCGTTGAAGGGCCCTAAAGCTCCAGATGGCAGAAATGCTTTCTTCTTATAAAATGGCCTGAGTTGGGGTCGAAGCGACAGAAAGCAGGGAGGGGATCTGCTTTGCCTCTGGCTGACCCAGGTTCAATCCCCAGCATCCCATATGGTCCCTCGAGCCTGCCAGGAGTGATTCCGCAGTGCAGAGACAGGACTAACCCCTAAGCACCACTGGGTGTGGCTCAAAAATCCAGTGAACCGATAAAAAGAAAAATGACCCACGGGCCGGGGAGAGACTCGGGGAGCTGGAGCACTGCATTCCATGAGGGAGACCTGGGCTCAACCCCAGCACTACATGCCCTCCCCTCACCCCTCTAGAGACCCCCCACATCTCCAGGAGGATGACCTCAGCTCCAGGCCCTCCAGACCCATAGCAACCACCAAATCCAAGCATCGAAACCCAGCTTTTGGGGGCCGGAGAGACAGTACAGCGGGTAGGGCATTTGTCTTGTATGTGGCAACCTGCGTTTGATTCCTGGCATCCCATCCCATATGGTCCCCCGAGCACCACCAGGAGTAATTCCCGAGTGCAGAGCCAGGAGTAACCCTGAGCATTGCAGGGTGTGACCACCCCCCCCCCCCCGCAAAAAAAAAAAAAAGAAAGAAAAGAAAAACCCATCTTTCCTTTCCTCCTGCAAGGCAGGGCCACGAAAAGGAGAAAGTAAAAGATCCTGAGGCACCGTCTCTTCAAGACAAAGCCCCATCCACCTTGCACATCAACGGAGCCGGCAGCAGTGCCTGGGACCTCCCCCATCAGTGACTCCAGCTCTTAGACAACGAGCCTGCCACCTCCTCCAAGAAGCCCTCCTGCTGTCGTTTTATCCCCCTGCCAAGCCTCGGATCTCCTACAGACCTGCACGGCCCAAGAACAACTCAACCAGACTAGAAGCTCCCCAGAGCTGGACCAGGCTATACCCCGCCCCCACCCCCTACAGTCCAAGCTAAACCTCAGAATCACAGGATCACTGAATCACAGGAGAGACCTCAAAGACACTTGCTCTGCTGCGGGCACCAACACACACGCAGCGGTTTCTGTCCAGAGTATCAGGCTGAGTTCAAGGCGCAGTGGAACGCAAGGAAGGCAGGTTCCCCCCAGCCGCAAGCAGCCCGGCCTCACGGATCCTTCCTCTGGGCGAATCTAGAGCATCTCAAGTCCGTGCAAGTTCCTGGGAGTCCCATGGTGGACAGGTGCCCGGAGGGCTTAGCGGGTATTTACAGCTCTTAAATCCGCTCCTGGCGAAATCTTCTCGCGGGCAGTTCCCAGAGCCCAGGGTGGGAGTGAGTACTGCTGAGTCTGACCTCTTCACCCTGTGACCTGAGTCGCCCCATCTTGGGGTCCCATCTTGGGAGGGGTCTGTCTTCCTGGGTGTTCCAGCTGAACGGTCTCCACCCCGTTCACTGGCCCCCATCTCCTAGAACCAAGGTGTTCTTATTGATGGTGACTGTCCTGTGGGGCCACCCTGGCGATGCTCAGGGTTGACTCCTGGCCCTGTGCTCAGGGAATCACTCCTGACCAGGATCAGAGGACCACATTCTCGCCCCATCTTGGGGTCCCATCTTGGGAGGGGTCTGTCTTCCTGGGTGTTCCAGCTGAACGGTCTCCACCCCGTTCACTGGCCCCCATCTCCTAGAACCAAGGTGTTCTTATTGATGGTGACTGTCCTGTGGGGCCACCCTGGCGATGCTCAGGGTTGACTCCTGGCCCTGTGCTCAGGGAATCACTCCTGACCAGGATCAGAGGACCACATTCGGTGCCAGGCACGGAATCCGTGTTGGCTACATGCAAGGCCAGTGCCTTCCCCGCTGTCCTACCTCCCGCCGGTCCCCAGTGTTGGGGCTGATTTCAGCCCACTCCGCAGCCCCCCTGACGTAGTACCCGGTGTTGCTGCCTGAGACCTTCCTGGGAATTAGAACCACATCCCGATCCACCCTATGCGGCCCCCAGCTGTGCTCTCCACCCACCTGCCTTGCTCTGGCTTGGGTCCATGACTCACTTCACCCACAGTCTTCCTCCCTCCCTCCCTGGTGCATCTTCAGACCCACTCAGGAGCACAGTGACATCACTCCCATCTGAACAGGAGCCGGATGTCGCCGGGAAAGACACACAGAGGGTGCCAGGTGCATCCATGGCAGCCCCTCCCCAGGCCCTGCACACAGCCTGGACATCTCAGGGGGCAGGTCTCCTTTGGGGGGAGAAGGGGTCACCATGTGTTTGCATTCTGATCCCATGTTCCACACTCTCGCCTCTTCCTCTACATCGCAGCGGCTACAAAACACGGAAGCTGCAGCCACTTCCTTATTCGCTCCCTGTCATCTGCAGACCCCCCAGGCCTACCCCGTCCCTTCCTGTTCTGTGTAATCTGCGAAAAGTCCCTTCCCGACCCAAAGGCCACAGCAGTCCTCAAAGCAAAGTCTGCCTGTGTAATATGATTTGTAGGAAGATATCTGATCCTTCAAATGATCAAAATAGGGGCTGGAATGATAGCACAGCCAGTCAGGCACTTGCTGTGTGTGTGGCTGACCCAGGTTCAATCCCCGCGCCCACCTGAGGACCCCTGAGCCCCACCGGGGGTGAACCCTGAGCTCAAAGCCAGGAGAGGGACTGGAGTGATAGTACAGCAGGTAGGGTGTTTGCCTTGCACTTGGCCGACCTGGATTCGATTCCCAGCATCCCCTATGGTCCCCCGAGCACCATCAGTAGTAATTCCTGAGTGCATGAGCTAGGAGTGACCCCTGTGCATCGCCAAATGTGACCCCCCCCCAAAAAAAAAGCCAGGAGGAAGCTCAGAGCACCACTGGGTATGGCCCCAAAAATAAAATAAATAAGTGACTCGGTGATGGGGTGGGAAGCGGGTCTCCCCTGTGGCTCTGACACTCTCTGTGTGCAGACGGGAGTGAGTGGAATTCTCGAACACCCTGCAGGTGCGGGGACCCCCTGACAGTTTATCTGCAGCCCCCTGCTGCCGGGTCTGCCTTCTGCATCCCTTCCGGGCCGTGCAAAGCAGCTAAGGGCAGGCCTGGCTCTGGGCAAGGTGAACCCCTACTGTGATCACACATGACGGGGTCTAGGCCGCCGGGGAGAAAGACCTAACACACAGCCTGCCGTCCTGCACATGCCTCAGAATCCTCTGGCTAGCCGCGGGCACAGCCAAGCCCCTTTCCCACCCAACTGCCAGAGACCATCAGAAACGGACGCCTTTCAAACACTGCCCTCATGACCCAAGAGCATGAGAATGCCTCCCCCCCTCAAGGGCAGGGACTTCACTGCTCTGTGGGCACCAATGTCCTCCTCATCCCGATGGAAGGACCAGCCTGGCTTGGCCCGGGTCGCTCCCCACCCCTGGCTGAATGTGCTTCTTTCTGAGCCGCTTTTCAGAGAAAGCCAGAAAAATGAGGCTCTGAAGGAAGGGTTCCACCGAGCCATGCCCAGCAGTTCCCTGGAGAACTCCCCCCGCGGGGAGGGAGCAGAGAGGCTGACGCTGCTGACAGACCCGGCCAGATGCACGGAGTGGGAAACCAGGGGAGGGAAGCCAGCAGCAGAGGCGTAGGCGGGCGACAGAGGGAAACTGAGGCCCAGCAAGGGGGCTGGGCCATGAGAGGAGCCTGCGGGGAGCCGGGATGAAGCGGGGTGGGGGGTACTGCATGCAGTAATGGGGCCTAAGCAGAGCAGGCCTTCGGACCCACCCCCAGCGCCACCCCCGTCTCTGCTCCCCCTCGGCACTCACGCATCCAGAGGTAGTAGAGACGCTTGGTCATGCTGAGGTGCTGTGGAGGGATGTCAGCCTCGAAGTCTTGGTAGAAACATGGCTTCAGAGGGATGAACTTGGGCAACGGGGGGAAGTTGTTCACTTTCTCTGTGGGGGAGGCACACACAGCACATATCACTTTCAAGTCTCTCCTGAACACCCAAAGGAGCCCTCCTCCCCCGGCTGGAGCTGCACCCCCAGCCAGACCCGGCTCCCAGGGGCCTGGAGGGAGGTTCCCGAAGGAACCAGAGGTCCTAGACAGAACCTCTGGGAAAAAATAAAATAAATGCGGGGCTGGAGTGATAGCACAGTGCGTAGGGTGTTTGCCTTGCACACAGCCAATCCAGGTTCGATTCCCAGCATCCCATATGGTCCCCCAAGCACCGCCAGGAGTAATTCCTGAGTGCAAGAGCCAAAAGTGACCCCTGAGCATCATTGGGTGTGACCCAAAAAGCTGTGACTGTCACTGTCCTCCCGTTGCTCATCGATTTGCTCGAGTGGGCCCAGCAACGTCTCCATTGTGAGACCTGTTGTTACTGTGTTCGGCATATGGAATACGTCATGGGGAGCTTGCCAGGCTTTGCCATGCGGGCGAGATATTCTTGGTAGCTTGCTGGGCTCTCTGAGAGGGGCAGAGGAATTGGACACGGGTCAGTTGGGTTGGCCGTGTGGAAGGCAAATGCCCTACTGCTGTGCTATCGCTCCAGCCCAACCCAAAAAGCAAAAATAAATAAATAAATAAATAAATGCAATAAATAAAATTATATTAAAAATAAACGCCTCCCTGGGGTGAGCCCCCTCCTCAGCTGGAGCCAGTTCCGGGGTTGGGATGAGCAGCAGCGCTGGCTTCCAGCCTCTGCTCCAACTCACAAGCTCACCAGTCTTTCCCAGACCCTTCTCCAGATTTCCATCTACCCAGTCCCTAACCCCATAGTGCATGCTGGGCTAATGGTCCCTAGAGGTCCCACCAGCTCTGGTATTCTGGACATGAATGAGCCTGCAGAAACCAAACAGCTCAGAATCCAGAATTATAGCTCCCGGGATGTGGGGCCAGAGACAGTCCAGGAGTGACGTGCTGGTCTTGCATGACGAGGACCCCAGTTTGATGGCTGGTACCAGATGGTCCTAAAGCACAGGGCTATGAGTAGCCCCCGATCACCCTGAGGTGTAGATCAACAGCCCGCCCCCCAAAATATATATACATATATCTCAGAATATTAGGGAGTTGGGGGCTGGAGAGATAGGAGAGCAGGGAGGGTCTTTGCCTTGCACATGGCTGACCTGGGTTCAATCCCATATAGTCCTCTTATGCCCTCCAAGAGTGATTCTCGAGTTCAGAGTCAGGAGTAACCCCTGAGCATCGCCAGGCATGCTTCCCCCACCCCCCCCCAAAAAAAAATATATATATACATATTTTAAATCTCAGACAATTAGGGACCTGGGGCTGTAGAGACAGGACAGCGGGTAGGGCAGCTCCCTAATGTTCTAAGAGGGCTTTAGCACCACACAGGGTCCCCCAAGGCCTGCCAGGAGTGATCCCTGAGTACAAGGCCAGGTGTAAGCCCAGTGTGGCACAAACAACCACAACAAGGCGAACATATTAGGAAGCAATCATGCCAATGGAGGCAGTGACAGAGCCAGGTGCTACTCACCCACCAGGATGTGGGGAAGCTGGGTGCCCAGTCCCGAGGCTCAGAGGCCTGGCAACCAGGCTCATTGTGTTTGTAGGGGGGACAACCACCTGGTGCTCTGTGGCGCCTGCAGGATGCAGCGCAGGCCTGGACCTGGAGCTCCATGGGTAAAGTAGGTGCTCGGGCCCAAGGATCCTCTCTTGGGCCCAGCCAGTGTGACCCAGAGGCTGGGGACAGACAGGGAAAACCCGGGAACCAACAGTCAGAGGCACCTGACCTCCAACACTAAGGGGTGAACAGGGACGAGGACCCCCACTCTGCACTCGCTTTCACCCCCTCCACACACAGCCCACCTTCACCTTACCCGCCATGGTGGCACCAGCTGGCCCGGGGGGGCTCACACCTCTTTGTCCTCAACTGGAAGGAAAGAGAAGCCAAAGACGGGTAAGAATCGCGGCCCAGCCAACCACCCCGTTCTCACCCCCAGTGTGGCCGGCAGCAACCGGCAAGACAGGGCTCCCACCACCAGAGCAGGAAGAGCTCCGGGAGGGGACACCCCCCTGACACAGCCCCCGGTCACCAGGCCTGCCCACTGGCTGTGACAGGGCACAGAATCTACCATATCTCTGTGTACCTTATTTTTTGTTTTTGTTTTTTTTGCTCTGCACTCAGGGATCACTCCTGGCAGGGCTCGGGGGACCAGATGGGCTGCCTGGGATCGAACCCAGCTCAGCTGCCTGTGAAGCAAGCACCCTGCCCACTGTACTCTCTCTCGGATCCCTCATCACGCTGTTTTTTTCCCAACAACACCAACAATTTTTTGAAAGTTTCACCGCTATGGTCACACTCCACCTTTCCGTCTTTCCTTTAAAAAAAATTGGGGCCACAGCTAGAGGTGCTCAGGGCTTACTCTTGGCTCTACAGCTCAGAAAGTATTACTTGTGGGGCTCAGGGGACCATATGGGATGCCAGGAATCGAACCCAATATGGCTGTGTGCCAGGGAAGCACCCTACCTGATTTACTATCTCCAGCTCCTAAATGGGCTGATTTTGTTTTGTTTTGGGCTTTGGGGGTCACACCTGGAGATGCTCTCAGGGGTTGTTCCTGACTCTGCACTCAATTACTCCTGCCACCGCTCAGGGGACCATATGGAATGGTGGGGATTGAAACCAGGTCGGCCGTGTGCAAGGCAAATGCCTTACCTGCTGTACTACTGCTCTGGCCCCAAACAGGCTGATTTTTGGAAAAGGACAAGCACAGGGGGCTGGAGCAATAGCACAGCGTGTATGGCATTTTGCCTTGCACGCAGCAGACCCGGGTTCGATTCCCAGCATCCCATATTGTCCCCCGAGCACCGCCAAGAGTAACTCCTGAGTGCATGAGCCAGGAGTAACCCCTGTGCATCGCTGGGTGTGACCCAAAATGCAAAAAAGAAAAGAAAAGAAAAGAAAAGAAGAGGACATGCACAGTATGACTGGAGCTGAGACACCTACAAAATGACAGGGTTCGTCTGAATCCTGAGACTTGTCTGGATGCTTCTTACATAATTTTGTACAAATATGTCCTCCAACACTTCAAAACTTACCCCAAAGCAAAGCAAACTCTAAAACTGAGAAACAACAACCAACTCTAAGCAAGCTGAGAACCCACAGAGGGAAGAATGGGGAACCTGATCAATGGACTCTGCTCTCTTAGGATGAATCTCCAGGGCAGAACAGCTGGCAAGGACGGGTATGTGCTCACAGGTGCACTACAGTGCGGGTACTGGCACGGGATGTGAACACGCAGGTGTGCTGCCAGAGCGGACAGGGGTGTGTTCATAGGGCTGGACCCAACTTCTCAATGTTAAGAAAGTGAAGATGGGGGGGTGGAGAGATAGTACAGCAGGGAGGGCACTTGCCTTGCAGGCAGCTGACCCAGGTTCAATCTCTGGGTACCATCCCATATGGTACCCAGAGCACCACCAGGAGTGGTTCCTGAGTGAGAGCCAGGAGTAACCCCTGAGCCCAGCTGGGTGTGGCCCAAAAAGAAAGGAAAGAAAAAGAGAAGGGAAGGGAAGGGAAGGGAAGGGAAGGGAAGGGAAGGGAAGGGAAGGGAAGGGAAGGGAAGAAGGGAAGGAAGGAGGGAGGGAGGGAAGGAAGGAGGGAGAAAGAAGAAAAGAGAGGCTGGAGAGAAAGTATAGCAGGTAAGACTCTGGCCTTGCACACAGTCAACCTGGGTTCAATCCCCAACATCCCATATGGTCTGCTGAGCACCACCAGGGGTAATTCCTGAGTGGAGTAAACCCTGAGAGTCACTGGGTATGGCCACCCCAAAAAAAAGTGGGGGAAGAGAGAAGAAGAAGAAGAAGAAGAAGAAGAAGAAGAAGAAGAAGAAGAAGAAGAAGAAGAAGAAGAAAAAGAAGAAGAAGAAGGAAGAGGAGGAGGAGGAGGAGGAGGAAGAGGAGGAGGAAGAGGAGGAGGAAGAGGAGGAGGAAGAAGAGGTGGAGGAGGGAGAGAGAGAGAGAGAGAGAGAGAGAGAGAGAGAGAGAGAGAGAGAGAGAAAGAGAGAGGAGATATAGGCCAGAGAAGATCGTACCATTGTACCAGGGTTAAGGTGCTTACTGTGAATGCAGTCAAACCAGTTCGATCCCTGACACCATGTGGTCCCCTGAGCCTCGAGCACAGACAGGAGCAGCCCCTAGAACCACCAGGTATGACTCAAACCACACACGCACAAAAAATAAATAAGAGCCCGAGTGATAGTGCCGGGGGGAGGGAGCGTGCCTTGCACACAGCCCACTGGGTTCAATCCTCGGCATCCCATATGGTCCCCAAGCACTGCCAGGTGTGGCCCAAAAATCTTTAAAAAAATGTAAAATAAAAGCTGAAGAAAAATATGATCAGGAGAAAAACATGACCTCTTTTCTTTCGTTCCCCCACCATGCCAGGGATCAAGCCCAGAACCTCACAGATGCAAGGCAGGGCTGTCCCACGGAGTGACAGCCCCTGCAAGGAGGAAAATATGACATCAGCAACGGATTAAAACACATTGCATGGGAAAAAATTAAAAATTAAAATACGCCGCAGGGAAAGAAGGCCTGAGGCCATGGTGAATCACCAAGAAAGGGAGGAGGGAAAGGAAACGGCCTACAGATGTCAAGGGAATGAGCAAGTTTTCTAAATCACCGTTTGGCTACCCCTGGGCAAGAACTGACATAAAAGGAACATCAGCACTGTGAAACCACAGGGTGGGAGGTGGCTGGTGAGAAGCAGAGTCACAGTCTGAGAATGTCCCTGCAGGTCCCTCAGCAATCCTGAGGGGAAAGGCACAGCTCGAGTGAGAGGGCTCTGCCTCTCTCTCTGTTTTTTTTTCTTTTTTTTTTTGACTTTTTGGTTCACACCAGGCGATGCTCAGGGGTTACTCCTGGCTCAGCACTCAGGATTTACTCCTGAAGGTGCTCAAGGACCATATGGGATGCTGGGGATCGAACCCGGGTCGGCTGCGTGCAAGATAAATGCCCTACCTGCCGTGCTAGTATTCCAGTCCCTAGGGCCCATCTCTAATGCCAGGGACCAAACAGCATGGCTGAGGATGGGGGGAAATAACGTCCTAGGTGACACACATACAGAGGGACAACAATCAGCTCAAGGCCATTGGAATAGAAGCAGGAATAGAATCAATCGAATCAATCCAGACTATGGGAAATTTCCCAAGGCAGATGGTAATATCACAACACAGTAGGGGCTGGAGCAGTAAAATAGTGAGACTTGGGTCTAATTCCCGGCCCCACATGTGGTCCCCTGTACACCACACCAGGGGTGATCCCTGAGTAGAGGGTCAGGAGTGAGTCCTGAGCACCACCAGGCATGGCCCAAACACCAAAAAACTAAAATTTCAGGGCTGGAGGGATGGCTCAGTGGACCAGAGCATACGCTCTCATGCGGAAGGCTCAGGTTTGATCCCCAGCATTACATATGGTCTTCAGAGCACTGCCAGTGTGACCTGAGCACTGAGCCTGGAGCAGCCCCTGAGCACTGCCATGTGAGCCTCACCACCCCCCCAAAAAAATCCTTCATAGTAAATATGTAACAGATAGCTTCCCTTGGGGCCGGAGTCATAGTACAATGGGTAGGGCATTTGCCTGCACGCAGCCAACCAAGGTTCAATCCCCGGCATCCCATACTGTCCCCTGAGAACCGCCAGGAGTAATCCCTGAGCACCACTGGTGTGACCCAAAAAGCTCCGCCCCAAACAAAACAGATAAGCTTGCCTTCCTTCCTTCCTTCCTTCCTTCCTTCCTTCCTTCCTTCCTCCTTCCTTCCTTCCTTCCTCCTTCCTTCCTCCCTCCCTCCCTTCCTTCCCTCCCCCTCCCTTCCTCCCTTCTTCCTTTCTTCCACTCTTTATTTTTCTTTGGTGAAGCAAACAGTTTTTAACTATTTAATTTTACAAACTTGTTCATGATGATTTGTTACACTCAATATTCCAACACCAATCCTACCCCCATTGCACTTCCCACCACCATTATTTCCAATTTTCCTAACCACCACTCAAGCCTGTCCCAATCGCAGAACCTAAATAATTTATTTTATATTGCTTGTTATGAATAATTTGCTAAAAATGATCAAAAAAGCTTTTCTTAGAAGAAAGTGTGTGAAGATTGTCGTATCTCACCACAGAGCCATTAAACCCCTGTATAAGAGATTACTAACATGTGGGGTAGATTAAGCCTTGTATGTTAATATTTTCTTATCACATTGGCAAGCAAATGGTTTAATTAGAAAGCATTGATCTAGAGCAACAGAACAGAGGGTAGAGTGCTAGCCTAGCACAAGGCCAACCCAGGTTCAATCCCTGGCATTCCATGGTTCCCAGAGCACAGGCCAGGAGTGATTCCTGAGTACAGAGTCGGGAGTAAGCCCTGAGCACTGCTGGGTGTGAGCCCCCCCCCAAAAAATTTTTTTTCAGAACAAAAAATGGAGATATTCATATGTATTTGCATATGGTGACACAGAAACAAGGGTTGCAAGCTGTGAAGAAAAAAAAGACGTGTGGCCCCTTCTAGAGACAGAAGGGTTGGAAAGAACAGAATTTTCACTCAGTAGCTATGTCATGTAATCTAAGACATCACCAATTTTGTTTTGGTTTTTTTGGGGGGGCGGTCACACTAGGCGGTGTTCAGGACTTACTCCTGGCTCTGTGCTCAGGGATCACTTCTGGTAGGGCTCGGGGGCCTTATGGGGTGTGGAGGGGGATCGATCCCAGGTCAGCAGAGAGCAAAGCAAAGGCCCTATTCGCAGTACTATCGCTCTCGCCCCAAGACATCAACAATTTTAAAACAGATCATTATTTTATTTACCAAAGAAAGAAGAAAATTCCATCTCATAATTCCTCCAACATTTTAAAGACACACTGAAATGTTTTGAGGAATCCAAAA